TACCCCTGAGCCTGTTGAGCCCTTTCCTGGTGACCAAGGGTATAGAGCTTAGTTTTGTCATCTTGTATGTCTTCCAGAACCCATTGGGGTTCCAGGTTTGATGCATTCTTGCTGTATCCCCACCTCCACCAAATCCATGTCCCTATACCTGAACATGGTTAAAGAGTTAGAATTGAAACCAGTCTTAAAAAGTAGAATGGGGCTCGTTTCCCCAGTGTTATAGATTGAACACTTGAGAAATGCCAAGGCAATCGGTTTTATTTAAAGGATAGAACAGAGACTCCTGAGGGAGTGGGGTGTGTTGGCCTTTTTATAGATTTTAGATTTCCTTTCTTGTGTCCCCTCCTCCTCTTATCTTGCCTATTTGACCAAAAGGGCAGGAAGAGAGCCATCTAGGGGGTGACTTCTTGGGTTGGAAAACGTGATCTTTCCCCTCCCCTGGAGGTTGTTAGCAACCAGGTGATGGGGAGTGCTACCTACCCATTTTCTTCTCTTTGATTATCAGCTGCCTGTCCTTTGCCCTCCTCTCACCATCAGTGAGATGGGCTAAGGAGCTGCAGTCATGCATCAGTTCTGTAGGATCAACTTTCCCTCCTTGGCACAGCGTGTGCCCTGTATGTTAAAACAGCTAAGGCAGCAATATACAAATGCCAACATGACTATTAAACCACCAGACTGTCCTTCGAGCTCCAGGGCCCTAACAGAAGAAGCAAGTCTGAAGTTGAATGAAATGTTTTCACAAGATTTATTCATTTCAAATGAGAGACTTGGGCTTGATGATTATCTTTAATTATGATAAAACTGGAATTGGAATACAATTTTTATGCTAAAGGTTATGATTTCACTGAAAATATAAAATCTTTCAGAACTCCAGTCACTAACTTTTCCAGATAGTGACACAACTCACCCAGTATGCCAGTTAACACCATTGATGTGTCATTCAGGTAGGTTGAGATGCATTACTTTGATTTCAAGAAAAGACATACCCCATGTTCCTAAGCACTTGAGTCCAAGTAGATTCTGTTTCTTAAAGGTAAGCAAGTCTTGTAGTTCAAGTGAATATTCCAGACTAAAATACGTGTATTTTTGAGGGTCTTCAGGCCTTAAATAATTATATTCTTGGCAAATATATTAAGTCCTGTGGTAGCAATGACTCCCTCCTTTATGGAGTTTGCGCAGTGATATCCATTGCACAATGTGACATGGAGCTGGTTGGCATGTGCTTCCATTGACTTCTGTTAAAAGAGGTAATTTCACCTTGTAGCTGGGTCAATACAATATCTGAAAGAGTCAATTGTTAGTACAAATAGTGAAGAAACTATTATATCTTATTATACCCCCCAATACCACATTTCCCAAAATGATTCAGGGTCATTTAAAAGCATCTTAAATAATACAGTAATCCATAAGAGAGAATAAAAGCCCAGTAAGAAGAGAGCAGGAGTACAAAAGTAAGCCATTGGCCTTTATGTTTTCTGCTCCAGCCAGTTTGGCTCTTGAGCTTCCTAAGGGCAGAGAAAAGAGACAACTGACAAATTAGCCGTTGAATATCACTTCAAAATGGAGGAGGGGAGCAGTCCTTCACATTTGAGGAATCCTGAACCCAAATGAGAACAGGCTCTTTTTCCCTCCTGATCTCAAGTACTTTGAAGAAAGTAGAACAGAAAGGCATCTAGATAAAAGGAGGATCTAGAAAAAGTGGAGACTGATGCATTTGGCTCTAGAGCAGGAAGGTGAGTTGTTAGCTGCCCACTCCGAAGTCTGGGCCTGCTCAGCTGATTGGCCAGCCAAAGTCAGAGGTAAAATGAGAAGCTACTTCCAGGTTGTATGCATGGATAAATAGCCAGACGTGTGTTCGAAAGTCTTATATTTATTTTGTACTCATAATAAAGATTGCCTTTCCAAAATTTACTTTGTATTTATAAACTTAAAATTTCTGCTTCCAATATTTTATTATAAAATTGTAGTTTATCACAATATGGAATTAGGCAACTGTGACTAGAAGGCCCTCTAGTGGAGTTTATCTATACTACAAGGGGCCAATTATCTTGAACCCTCCACTATTGCCACATGAACCTCCATACCAGTCAGTTTCAGAGATAAGAGGTAAACTGTCAAATTAGTTTGATGCATGTCACCTTGATTTGTTTTGGGGAGTAGCAGGATATTATAGCTGATGAATGAAACCTAATACCATTAACATTGGACAAGTTTCCTGACTTGTTACCATACTCTCAGGTAGGTATAACCTATGTGTCACAGGCCTCTCCTAGTGAAGAAATATGTGGGACTTAGGGAATAATTGTCTACAACTGCTCTCCAATACAGCAGCCACCAGTCACATGTGACTAGTCCAAACTGATGTGCTGTAGGTGTGAAAAGTTCAGATGTAAAGAATATATAAAAATTTGGGCTGGGGTTGTGGCTCAGTGGTAGAGCACTTGCCTAGCATTTGTGAGGCACTGGGTTTGATTCTCAGCACCACATCTAAATAAAATAAAGGTCCATCCATGACTCAAAAAAAAAAAAAAAAACTTTTAAAAAAGAATATATAAAATTTTCAATTTTATAATGATTTTAAGTTCCACAATAATTGACTGGGTTGAATTAAATACACTTCAAGTGATATTAATATGATTTGCATTATATTTCTATTGGACAGGATGGGTGTAAAACATGAATCAAAATCATCATGGAAACATGCAAATCGCAACCTACAATGTAATAGGAAGATGTTGCTATACTATACAGAACCTTGAGGAAAAGGAAGAGTAAAATTAGCACTCACAGTGAAGAATTTACCAGGAAGCAGCTATTTTCCCTCCTAAGGACAGAAGTTGCAGAGGTAGGGAGCTCATGCTACTCAGAAGACTCCACATAGAGTCTAGTCTCGCGCTAGAGATTTTAAAGGAAAAAGACTTCAGAATGTATTTATTAAATGCTCCTTCTGTTCTCCACCTGCCCTGCACAAACATTTGTGTGTTCATTGGAGTAATCAAGGGCTGGAGGGTTTGGTAGGCTACATCTAGTCAAATATGACTTCCTAGTAAAGAATCCAGATGAAGAAAGGTTTGGTCTCCTGACCAATTCTTCTGCTGGTGTGTGTGTGTGTGTGTGTGTGTGTAGTAGTAGTAGTAGAGTAGTAGTAGTAATGTAGTAATGGAAGGGGAGAGATTGGAGGAGGTGGCATCACAAATATCACTAGAACTTGTATAAAGTACTCTTTTTTGAAACTACCTTATGTTAGGCAAAATGTTCCACAGAATTCTCTCCTTCCCTTGTTTTCACTTAACTGTTTGCTCTAAAAAGGCAGATCCATGTAAAATCCCAGTGTGTCATTTTCTTGCTACTAATAATGACTTTTTGTCATTTTGTTTCTTTCTGTGAAGTGCTGAGGATCAAACCCAGGCCCTCACGCATGCTAGGCGAGTGCTCTACCACTGCTCTCCCAGCCTCTGTCATTTTATTTTTAAGAATAAGTGAATTCCTCCTGTAGTTTTCACATTTCTCTTAAATAATGGTTCTTAATTAGGGGACATTTGTTAGTGTCTGGAGACTCTTGATTGTCACAACTAGGTTGATGGGGCTATGCCGCCAGCTTCTAGTAGGTAGAGACCAGAGATGCTACAAAATATACTACAATGCAAAGGACTGCCCCTGCAACAAAGAATGTTGACCCAGAGTGTCCGTAGTACAAAATTGGGAATCACTGTCTTAGAAAATGTCATTTCTGGGGCTGGGGTTGAAGCTCAGTGGTAGAGAACTTGCCTATCATAAGTGAGGCACTGAGTCCCATCCTCAGCACCACATAAAAATAAATAAATAAAACAAAGGTATTGTGTCCATCTATACCTAAGAAAGAAAGAAAAGAAAAGAATGTCATTTCTTCAAGACCTACCTGTTAAGGTGTTCCTGAGTATGCTATTGGCTGTTTCCCAAATGTGACATAGAAAGCTTCTCTAGACCATGGGTCTTAAGGGGATTTTATTGCTAGTACCATTGTTTTTCATTTCCAGGTGAAACTTACACATCACAGCACTTATAAAATAATAATTGATTATTAGTCTTAAGTCAACATATAAAACTAGTTTTAGTGTTAATTGTTCATAAGTGACCAGCAACTCCCCATTTGCTCATCACAAACAAGTATGTTCTTAGAGTGTTCATGAGGCGAAGCTTGTCCACACTCGCCAAAGGACCACCGTATCTGTGGTCTGGCTGCAGAGTCCATAAGCCACACCCAGGTTATTCTCATGATCTGTTTCTCCAATCAATAGCTTCAGTCCTCACTAGGAGTATTCAGCTCAACCAAAGAACAGTCACCAACTAGCAGAAGAACAAAAAAAGTAAACTCACACTGAAGAATTGAACCAGACATTACTGACCACTCTCCACCTCTCTAATTTTAACACTAACCAGAAGATTCTGACTCATTTTAAATCCCGAAGAACAATAAAACACTGAGTTACTATACTGGCAAAATTAAAACAAGCCTCTTCAAGTTGTCTGGGGGGGCTCTCTGACTTGGAGTCATCCCCCTTTCCTGCGCTGATGGTACCACAAGGGCCAAGACACACGTAAGCAGATGGTGCTGTTGGCAAGAGGTGATGTCACTGTTGCTCTGGAGTGTAGCATTGGCACTGGCAGACACGGTAGCCATGAGGGAAGTCAGTGGACACACTCAGTGGAGATGGGGCCAGAGTTGCTCTGGGAAGTACTGCCTACCTCTCAGCTTAAAGGTGTCCAAGTGCCCTTCTTTATTGTCTCATTCACCTGGGAATTTTCAATCTTACACTTTCTTGCATAAAAAAAATACAGCACATGGCCTGTGGTTACAAACAGCATGGAAATGAAGACTAGCATGCCAAACTGCTGTGGCTGCGGGGCCAGCATGACGAGGATGAAGTGGATGAGGTCCATAAGATAGTTCAGGGAGCACTGCACACCGTTGACGGCCCCTCGCTCTGCTTCCGGAATGTTCTCCTGGAGAAGCTGGGTCACAGTGAGGTCAAAGGACCAGAGCCCTGCAGGACAGCAATGTAGGGAGAGAATAAACATGAACAGATGTCAGAGGACCTCTGTGAGATTCTGGCTCTGGAATTGATGAGCATTGTTGCCTTGGATAAATGCAACTTCCTGCTGCTCAGTTTCCTTATCTGTGAAATGGGAATATTAAAGGCACTAATGGCTCATTGGAGAATTCCATGAACTTGTACAATAAAATGTAGTGCTGTGCCTGACCACCTGTGCATGGCAGTTACTGTCATAAGTTATGGTGTTATAATTATCTTTTTGAATCACCATCACTACCATTGTCATCAGATGCACAATAACTTCATTTTGGATGTATTTATTTGTGTCCCCTCCTCATTGCAAAAACATGTTTAAGGCAGAGAGCAAAATCTTGAGCTTCAAATCTACTTCCAATTCCAGATTTTCCCTCTTCACACCTGGCTTAGCTGAGAAAGAATTGGGCTCCACTCTTCACCCTGCCCACCACTCTCAAACACCTAAAGAGGACACATTTGAATTTGTTTCAGAAGCAGCTCCAGGATCTGCTGTGTAACCATCAGCAAGGGCAGAAGCCAGCAGTGCTGAGGACAGTGCTGTTCTTCAGTGGCAATATCTCCCCTAGGGGTTCTAGTGCCTGTCCCAGTGGGCCCTGAACCCAACTTCTTCCTGTTCAGTTGGTTTTCCAGCCAACTAGCCTTCTGGGTTCTCCCAGGATTCAGCATTGGCTCTGCAGAGGCCTCCTGGTGCCACTGTCCCAATCCATGGACTTAGCTCTGAACTCAATAATTATTTGGAGGTAATGTACTATGTCCTCCGGTGCCTGCCTTTGCAGAGCACTGTCTGGACCTCTGTCTTCCTGGGCTGCCCTAGCCACCCTGCTGTGGCCACCACCCACAGGCCCTGACCAGTCCCCCATCCTCTTGGGGTGTTCTTACCACCCCAAATGCCTCAATTTCTCTCCAGGCTTTCCTGCCAAGAACCCCATCCTGCAGGGGACTCTGACCCAGAGCTTACCTGTAATATCTCCACACCTGCTGGTCCTTTGCCAGCAGCACTTACAAAGTTAGAAAGTATCTGTAAAATGCTGCAGTGGTACTATGAGAAGTGCTCAAGGAAGCGAGGGCTAATTATGCACTGAGAATTATTTCTAAATTGAGGGCATAAAGAGTTACAGTTCTTAGATTTTAAAAAGCAAAGTGACTTTTAAGCAATGTGCCAAATCTTATTGTAGGCATAGTTCTGCAAGTTAGTTTCCATCAGAGTAGAAACAAGTATCTACTGAACACACACCTAAGATGAGCCCTAAGCTTGGTGATACATGTTGGATACTTATTGTGTCAGGCCACAGGCCACTGCTCCCAGTGAGAGGACCAGTCATCATAGCCCCAGGCCCAACTGCATTAACAAAGGCACAATATATCCTTTGGGGCACTGGTGCTCTTAATGTCTGAAGTTTTGATACCACACCATCAACCCCAAGGTTAAGTGTGACCCCAATAGGAATGAATGTAAAGGGTCCTTGCTGACATTGCATGTGCAGGAGTTGAGAAGCATCCACATCACCTAGCACTGCAATTGCCTGTGTCTCGCTGCCCACCCACACCTCAGCCTCACACAGCAACATTCAGAAAGGCACCAAAATTATAGCTAAAATACGATGATGACGACGACCCAAGATGACAATTAATGTTCATTTCCAGCAGGTAGCTCCCACAGTTGTGAAAACTTTGTGCTAACCACATTGCCTACAGGGATTCTTCAGCACTTGCTCAGAACCTTTCTCATGGGGAAATATTATTATTATCATCCCATCTTGAGATCAGGAAACAGTGACATTGGGAACTTAGGTGTCTTGCCAACATCATCAGGCAGCCTGGCTCCAGGTCCTGAGCTGTATTGCTCATGAGTGCCAAGAGGGTTCTGTGTCTCTGCAATCCTCATCTGGGGTACAACAAATAGACTTGCTATTGGCATAGGAAAAAGGCCAAGGTTCTCTCACACAGGACGTGTGTCCAGATGGCAGGCTCCTCTGAAGCAGTTTCATGTTTTCCAAATGTGATCATTTCCTTTGTATCAGGAAAGCCCAGTGATCCTGGTAGACAGGATCCTTTTGAAGTAAACAATCATAATATAATATTAATGACACAAAGCTTAAGGGGCCAATCTACTCTCAGTTATTTGTGCAATGAAAGGGTAGATGTGCAAATCAAACACACTAATGAAAGACAATCCACTCATCAGGTACTTCGTTTAAATATTTTAGAGCTCAGGCAATCTCTACATGAAAGAATGGGCTTCTAAATCAGTTATTTGGAACTAGGAACATGTCTTTCTCCTGTAAATACATTACATCAGAAATGAGATTCCGAGACTAGCCTGTGATCTTATAGTCTCTTGAATTGGGCCTTCGGAATCCTCATTTCCTCTTGTCCACACTTTTATAAAGCAACAAGTGCTGAATATGATAGTACACGCAAGTATCCCAGAAATTCGGGGGGCTGAGGCAGGAGGATTGCCAAGTTCAAGGTCAGCTTCAACAATTTAGTAAGGCCCTAAACAACTTAGTGAGATCCTGTCTCAAAAGAAAAAATAAAAAGGACTGGGTATGTTGCTCAGTGGTCAGCCACCCCTGGGTTCAATCCCCAGTACAAAACAAAAACTCAAGAGATTCTAGGTATCCATGGTACATCCTCTCAATTACATGATCCTACCCCTCAGAGGTGAGCACATGATGCTCTGAGGCCCAAGAGGGCAAAGACCTTGCTTTGGCACAGTGGCTGCAGTGGTGAATGTAGCGTGGGAAGGGTGGTTGGATGAATGGGGAAGACATGCTTGGTTTTTGATCCATAACATCCATCACTTGCCATCACACTTTCCCCTGGCTCTGAGCTGTGCAGCCAGGGTGGGGCCTCAAAGGCGTACATTTGAATTTGGAGCAAATTGGGCTTGAGCAAGAAGTGGTGCTTTCCAGGTAGAAAACCAATCATGGGAATTTTGAGATGAAGAACAAGGTCCCAGATTCTTCCCAGATGAGAATCTGCAGGTCTGACTGATCACAAGAGCCAGTGTGCTGTTAAGAAGTTTCTGCTGCCATCACAACTGATCCCCAGCAGGTCATTTTTGGGGTTGTCAGGCATCAAATGACAATTTTTTAAAAAATGTTTTAATAAACACTCTAGCCATGTTTTCACTACTAGATAAGAATGGCATATGGTAGAAATCACATATGGTAGAGATATGGTAGTGACAGAGCTCAGAGATGAAGTACTTGTGGCAGACAAACCTGTAGGCACTCAAACTCAGACACCCCATCTTTGGGAAAGGATTATACTGCCCTCCCCAGACAGCTAAGGAATGCCTTTGTCCCAAGAAATTGCCATCTTTCCTCTTTCCTCATCCCCTCCACAAAGAAAGGATCCAGGTCCAAACACTACAATCATGCGGACACTATCTATGGCATTTACATGTTTGACACCCAGGAAATAATTATAATATTTTCGCTTCTCCAAATCTCTATCTCCAAGTTTTCAACTTTCAGCCTTGTCTCAGCACCACCATGCCCCAACCTGGAGCAGGCATCCCTCTCTGGACATGTCTTGCTTGCTCATCTGAGATCTTCAGTTGTGCCTCCCTGTAGGATGGCTTCCCCAGCTCTCAAGACCAGTTTTGGTGTTCCTCCTATTGCTCTCAATCTGTCTGTCCTTCCCTACCTCTATCTCATTGCCTATCCTTGGCTGCTTACTGTTCCCTCACCCAGGCTGTAAGCACCATGACTAAAGCACTGTCTGATTAAATCATTCTTGGTTTCCCCCCCTCCGCCTCCGCATTCTGGTCCAGTTCTTATCACTAGAACTCATTCTTAATGAATGGATGATGAAGACTTACAGAAGCATAGAGATGGGACAATCGCACACTTCTAAGATTATCTGGCAACATCCCAGCCTGCAGAAACCCACACATGCATGACCCACTACTCACCAATTCTGGCCAGGATCACACCAGAGAAGAGCAAGATAATGGAGACGTAAGACTCTGGCTGCTCAAGGTCCTGCTGCCCGTCGAACAGAACAGTGCTGTTGGTCCAATGAATGGAAGAACGGTCCGGGAGGATGGGTTGGTTCAGGTTTCTTTCAAAAGGGTAAATGTGCACTTGGTCATCTTTTAGTAACTTGGGACTTGAAGAAGAGTTCTTGCTCAATGGAAGTGAGGAAACAGCTGTATCAAAGGGACTTCCAGGAGCGAAGACAGAAAACACGCAGAGCGTTAGACAACCTACGTGGAGCCAGCTGGATATGACTCCTGTGGTGACCAAGCCATAATGCCCCCGGAGCCAGGTGAAGAGAATTGTGCCCATCAGGCCAGATAAAGCCGAAAGGGCCGTGAGGATGCTGAGCAGGAACCCTCCGATGCCTTGGGTGTAGGCATAGCCTGTGGTGATGCAGTCAAACCCCAGCACGGTCATGTAGAGGAAGGCCAGGCCCAGGCCAGGCAGGAAGATGGTCTGCCGGCAGTAGGTTTCCCAGCCCTCCCTGCACGTGTGCAGCAGCCTCTGAGTGTTTCGAAGGCAAAGAAGAAATCTTTTAGTTGTGACCCATTGTCCTTCAAGGTGAGACCTGCAGTCTTTTGGTTCTTTTGAAGTTCCAGGCTTGTGGATAAATCCATCAGTGGTTTCCCAAGAGTCTATTTCACCTAAAATAAAATTCATATAACTTAAAGTCAATACCTGTGTCCCCTCAGCCCATCCCAACCTCTGCTTTTTATTGGATACTTCCTGTGCACACTGGTGGCTTCCTGTCCCCAACCACCTGTGTCTCTGCCTGAAGACCTCTCTCCAGCCACTGGAACAGGAGGGATAGGCTGTAAGTGCTCTGGGGACAGCTCTCAGCCGGTGAGGGATACCCCAGCTTCCTTGCCTTTGCTGGGACAATTTGAAGGAACATTCCTTGTTCCCCAGTTGGACTGAGCCCAAATCTCTCAGTAGTAATCTCTGGGAGCCTCCTTTCCCCTTCCTGTCTTACTTCCCACCCCTCACCATCCTTCCGGAGGTCACATTCCAAAGAGATGACTCTCTACTCCAAATCTGTCTCAAGAGGCACTTGAAAGAAACCCACAAGACACACTATCCCATTAGGAAGGCAGGCATTGATGGGGACAGTGGGTATAGGGGAGGGTGGGAGAGCAAATTTCACTTGCTTGAAACTTGGTAATGAGCTCCAGAAAAAGTGATAGGTACCTCCTTTGATTACTTTTCTGAAGAAACAGGTACTTATGATGGGAAAAAAAAAAATATATATATATATATATATATATATATAAATAAAATACCTTTTGGTCTTCCAGGATATATCAGACAATGATATAAGCAGATTAAACTATTGGTGAGAGACTGACCAGTCCTGCATAGGGCTGGAGGGGCCCAGTAGGGCTCTGAGGGGAGAAGGGGCAGGTGAGCCAAGTCTATTCCAGATCAAGACTCAAGGGAAAGTGAGTCTTTTCCTCACAGAATGGAATTTTTTGCCAAGGCAGTTTTATTTTTAAAGATGACAAAATAACAAGAACAATGAAAACATAGCTAAATTGACTGAAGTTCTCCTATATGCCAGTGAGTTTAATAATGCTTTGCATCTATTTAATTGTACAACATCCTATCAAATAAGTTTTATTATTGTCCTTGCTTTATAGATAACAAGACAAAGAATATGAATAAATTAAACTTGCAACGTCACACAGGTAATACACGGGAGATGAAAAGGATGTAGTTCTATCGATTTGTATCTACCTGTCTAGCTACTCACATACCCATCCATTCATCATTTAAGTATGTACATCCATCTATCTCTTCAAATATATACATTTTACTCATGTAATGGGATTGGTGAGATTTAGGTACAAAACAACTTGAGAGAAAAGAGAATTAACGATAATTAATTAATGATAATTAAGAAAGAAGAACTTCGGTCAGAAGCCATTACTAAACTGCCTTGTACCAGGCAGATGGACAACCTTGTCAACAGGCAGGGATGGCTCTCACTTTGGGAGAATGAGGTCATATCTACTGGTAGGTTTTCCTTCCTTTCATTCTCATCATACTGTTGGGGAATTTCTAATTAAAAAAAAAAAAACTATGGGAGCAGGATTGACAGTTTATCATATTATCCTTACCAAAGATTAACCCATAGTTTTTGACACATTTGCCTTTTTCAATTTAACATCCCTGGGGAAGATGTGCATGAGTGAGATGAGAAGGAGTAATTTGCCCTCTGGGACCTTGGGATAGGTTGTACAGTTTTTACACTGTACAGTCCCATGGGGGTGCTACTTACAATGCAGTCTCTCTGAATGGAGCCCTGGTGTTATGCAGTACACAACTTGTATAACTGTATAAAGCAGCCCTGCCTGTCCCAACCAATAAGATCAGCCAAGTGAACTATACAACCAATGGCACAGCTGGAGACTGCTCATTTATCACTGTTTGGCACATTTGCCAAGAAAATGTCAAGATTAGGATCAGACATTAAGTTCTGAAAAGAAGAAGTGAAACACCAAGAGAGGGGGAAAAGAACAAGAGCTCTCTCTGAGTTTGCATTACCTTGAACATTCACAGCCTCCTGTTGCTTTTCTAGGAAGGGCTTCCCTGTTTGTTGCTGGGGTTTTACAGCCAATTGGGGAACTAGTTGATAAACCCTAGACAGAAATAGAAACTCTACAAGAAGTGAAACCAAGTTCCATCCAAGAATGAAACCACAACCGATCACATGAGATGCCCATGTCATCACCTGGCCCACAGACAGGGGAGCAAATATATTGATGATCTGGTCCAGCCGCCGGACTGCTGCATTCATCCCTGTGAGAGGAAGGAAATATGGCAGGTCAGTGGATGACTCCTTCTTTCCAGTCAATTGACCACACGCACTTGCTGGAGTTGCCAGCCACGCCCTGGGTGGATGATATTAACAGCAGGAAAAGATCCCTTTGGCTGAACTATAGCAATACGATTCTCAACCTGAAAAAAAATGTTAAGATCAGTTCTATTGGAACTTGAGCAGTTAACAATTAATAAAATCAGGACTAGAGAGACTAGGTTACTTGGAGCTAGTTATTCTATCCCCCATCTCAGCATACTTTCCCATCATACCCCACTATCTTAACAACAATAATATTAATAGCCACTGTCACAGCTAATGTGGTGACAGGGAAGAGTGGTAATCGAAGGAGGACAGAAGGAGGAATGAGTTGAATATTTACTCTGTGCCACAAAAATAGTTCCACACCTTCTACCTGTATTTATCTCATTCCACCCTCATCACAACTCTAGGAGGTAACAGTATTTCTCTTTTGCAAATTAGGAAACTGAGACACACAGAGGTGAATATATTTGCTCAAGGACACAGGAGGAAAATGATGGAGCTGAGACTCAAACCCAGGCAGTCCGACTGCAAAGCTTATTCTCTTCCCTCTTCTGCTATCACTGAAGAGTTCATTTTAATAATTGTAATGAACTTGAACCAGAATCCATGCTTTTCTTAGATTTCCTTAAAATTAATTAACAGAGAACAGGGAGATTTTCTTTACCCAGAGATGGAGGACACCTCAACACGATGTCACCCAGTTCCACTCGCCTGGCTGTTTTATTTTGGGTGTTGTTATTTAAGCCACAGTACATCCAAAGAAGTGCAGTTTAAAGGAAAACATGATTATAAGGGGCTTCTACTCTGCATGAGGCATACATTTGAATCGACTCCTCCTTAATAGCTTTCTTTATCTTGGCCATCAGCACTTGTACACATTTCCTAGCAGGGAGTTTCAACTGCACAAATACAGGGTAGACTGAGGTCTTCAGCTTGAAGTCGGCAATTAGAATATATCACAATGTGAGGGACCCAATTTTTGTAAATGGGGAAAAAACAAAGAAGGCATCCAATTATCCTATTGAATTCCTTCACTGGAATATCAATGCTGACCAACAATCACACTGGCAGATACTGTTTGTCTTGTTGTCCGCTTATCACTAGATGGAATTAAGAAATCTTTTCATTCATTTATTTTCCAGGTCTAAAATTGTCAAGGAACTTGGTGATGAACTTGCAAATGGAAGACTTCTTTCCTGAAGGCACAGTCTATTTCTTTCAACAATAACGATATCAACCATTTCTTAGGGGCTTCCTACATGCAGATACAGGGTTAAGTGCTTTTCAAACCCTGTGTCCTCCAGAATGCTCCGTGTGTGTGTGTGTGTGTGTGTGTGTGTGTGTGTGTCCCACATCCTACAGATGAGGAAAGTCAAGACTAGAGAAGTGCAGAAACTTGCTCCAGGGGAGGCAGCTAGCTGGGAAGAGGCATACCTGGTTTTAGCTGAATTTGAACCCATCTCTGTGGGCTCCAAATACCATTCTCTTACAGGCTATCATTCTGCCTCTCTCAGAACCCCAAATAGCTCTCCAATTCCATTTTTCAGAAGATCAGAAGACTGGTAAGGCGTAGGATGGGATTGCTCACCAGCCAGCTGGCTTCCGTTGCCACCTGTGAGGCTCACAATCCAGTCCCTCTGAATGGTGATGGTCAGTGCTGTGCCAGCCAGGTTCGCCACAGCTGCCAGGGTGATCAGCACTGTGTAGCAGGCCACCTGTGGGAGGAAGGGGACTTCAGAGCTCAAGAATACTTTTCCAACCCACAGCCATACACAGAAGTTATTTATCTGGCAGCTTGAGGATCATCTAAACGAGCAAAGAGACCTGTGGGAGAAAGAGGCTCAATGCAAGTTGGAAGCCAAATGTGTGCTAACGCTAAGCATTTTCTCAGCCCGTTACAGATCAGATGCTAATTTGTACCTTGCAGACAGACTCTGCTGTTATATTGCTTCCTGTCTGTGAGATTTGGGCTTGATTCACAAATTAGGGGCAAGGAGAGCACTGATGGAAAGATGGTCTAGATCTCAAACCAGTAAGCAGGGATGTGCAGAGACAACTCCCTAATGGACATCCTTGTCTATGATTATGACATTCGCTCTTATGGCTTAGGAGGGAGAGACACTCACAGTGAACCAGCCGTGCCAGATTTGTTCCATCTCCCTTCGGTAGGAGAACAGGAGCATGAGGAGCACACAGCAGGCGGTGACAGAGGCATTCTGAATGAAGAGCGAGGCATGAGCAACTGTGAAGGGAAATGCCCAGGGGCCCAAGGTTTACTTTTGGCATTAGGACGCAAGTCACAGCTATGTCACCATGTAATGCAGAGCAATTACATCTGACCAAATCCCTGGGCCAACCAGGCTTGTAATTTCCATCAGCAATTGCAGGCTTGGGTAGGAAGCAAAGAGCAGGCTCAGTGCTCAGGACAATCAAAGCCTTTGTGACCAAAAGACAAAAAGCCGAGCTTTGCAAGTGAATGAAACATACTTTGAGAGAAAGGTGATATGAAAAGCCAGATTCCAGATAAATTAAGAAGCTTGATTTTTTCTATTGCTTCATTTGACTCTCTTGGATTTCACTTATGGTTGAAGCTATCCAATGGATCTAAGGAGCAACACTACAGATTTTAAGTAAATCAGGCTTAAACACATTAGTGTAGTTTTTGCAAACTCATTTCCAATTCTCCAAGAGATAATGAAAATAATCATGTTGACTAGTCATCAAAAGAACAGGACAACTTGGGAGACCCAACATTTTTATTGGGCAAAGAGACCTAAGAAGGTATTATAGGCAAAAGTTTAAAGTTAAAAAGAACATCTATGTTTGAAGAAATAAGTATCCACGTTGATTCCTCGCTTAGATGGATTACCTCATATAAAAGATATTTTTCACACATAGAAATTGCTTTTACCAAAAATAGCACAAGTTTTATTATGCATAGGTAATACCAGAATATTAAAAAGCTATATCTGGGGATATAGCTCAGTTGGTAGAGTCCTTGCCTTGTATGAACAAGGCCCTGGGTTCAATCCCCAACACCACAAGAAAAAAGAAAGAAAGAGACATTGTAATGTTTTGAGCAACTAATAAAAAAATTAAAAATTAAAAAGAAAGAAAGAAAGAAAACAAGCATGTTTTTCAATAATTTAATATTAAAAAGGTGTAATTACTAAGATTCTAAAAACCATTAAAAGGCTGGGAATATGGCTTAATGGGAGAGGATTTGCTGAGTGGGCATAGGCTCTGGGTTTAATCGCCAGCCCCACAAAAAAGTAAATAAATAAAAACCACATTAAAGTATTTTAAATGTAGCACCAAAGAATATGACACAAAGTTATATAAGGCTTTCTTTTAGAGTTTTCAAGTTATGTTCCACTCTTAGTCAGCTCAGATCTATAATTTTGTTTCACTAAATAAACAAAAAAAATCTAGTAAATCCATGATGAACAATATAATCATATGTGAAATAAATAAAAGCATTACCTTTATTTCTTGGCTTCCTGTCAATCCAGTCACCAATTAAGACCCCAAATATTAGTACAGATCCAGCCACCACTAAGCCAAACACTGCTGTTAGAAGAAGATTATGTCCATATAATTCTATCAGGAACACAGACATGGCAAAGTGCCACATTCGATCTCCCTGCAAGGCAGTAGGGCAAAGCATACTGTAGTCATTGACTGAAAGACAGAATAGTTAAAATCCAGAAAGGCACATTTCTCCCAAAGGATATGCTATGTGCAAACTTTGAAAACAGAATAATCAAATTACACTTTTGTGAAGAACTATAACTTTATTCTATATACTTACAACTTTAAAAAGCCAGACAGAATATTTTCACAAATTTCTAAAGCATTAAAGAACCAATAATCTAGGACTGGGGTTGTGGCTCAGTGGTAGAGCGCTTGCCTGGCATGTGTAGGACCCTGGGTTCGATCCTCAGTACCACAATAAATAAACAAATAAAGTTAAAAAAAATCCATTGACAACTAAAAACAATTTTTTTTTTTTAAAAAAAAGAGCCAATAATCTAGAGAAAAATCAAGCATACACTTGGGAGAAGATGAGAACTCTAAGAGCACATCGCTGATCAGAAGCAACAACTGTGACATAGAATTGTAGCTCTGCTGGACTCAGAAAGCTAGGTGACAGAAGTCTACCAAAGATGGGTACCACTTTAAGCCAAGAGCCCACATAGTCAGCTATACCCTTAGGGTAAGGAGGGCAAACTGGAAGTAAATCCCACTTGCCTGGGCTCATTGTTCAGCTGTACCTCATCTGCATATTCCAGAAAATCTCAAGCCTTGAACTTGGGTTAAATCCCTATGCTAACCAGCACTATCATTTCCATCACCAATTGCTGGCTTAAGTCAGAGACAAATGGCCAATGCCCACTAGGTACCCTAGGGAAGGCAGTTAAACCCTCCCTAAAGTCAGATGCCATCATCTTAGTAGTAAATCTTCAAGTATAATGCCCAGCCCATGGTCAAGGGCAACCAGCATATGGCAATAGAGCAAAATCTACAATAAAGAGCAGTCAGCACAACAGACCTACTAAGAGTTCGTGTATTTAGATTATTAGACATAGGCTATAAAACAATTATGCTTACTAAATCTAAAAAAAATCAAGTTTGGGCTGGGGTTGTAGTTCAGTGGCATGTGTGAGGCATGGGGTTCGATTCTCAGCACTGCATATAAATAAATAAATACTAAAGGTTCATCGACAACTAAAAAAAAGAGTGACATGGCAAGTTTAGAAAAAGGCTAAATAAAAATTCTAGGACTGCAAAATACAACAATAGAAACTAAAATTAAAAATTCAATTGCTTGGTTCCATAGTAGATTAAACATAAAAAATTCAGTTAATTTTAGATATGTCTGAAGAAACAACTAACGATAAAACAGAGAAAGACAAAATAAGGGGAAGGATGACAAGAAGGTGAAAGAGGAGAAAAAGAAATATAATAGGCCAAACCAATAGAAAACACAAAGTAACATGGTAGACTTAGCTTAAACATATCATTAATTACAAATTAACTATTTTAGTTAAAGCATAAAGATTGACAAATTGGATTTTAAAATATAATTATATACTGTTTAAACAAAAATATTAAAGCAAAAGAATAAAAAAGAGCAGACATAAGAAGATGGATAATGATATCATGTAAATTCCAATCAAAATGAATGCACATCACTAATTTAATATCAAGGAAAATACTCTAAAGCAAAAAGCCTTACTCGAAATAAAGAGGGTCACTTTATAATGATAAAAGTTCAATTTTCCAGAAAGATATAAAAATTCTGATTTATATGCACTTAATAATAAGGGCTCAAATATATGACACAAAAAAGTGTAGAATTAAAATGAGAAGTAGATAATCCCTGTGGGAGATTTTTAAGTCACCACCTTTTTCTCCATAATTGATGAAAAAGCTAAAATATACGTATATAAATATGTTAAATGCATGTGTGTTTGTGTGTGTTCATTCAACCTAAAGGTCACAGCAAAACACTGTACCCATCAAACTTCAGAACGCGTATTATTTTAAGCACATGAAATATTTGTAGAAATGAGCCATATAATGGATTATAGAGAAAAATCATAATTTCAGTATATTGAGAGAGGATGTTCTCTGAACTCAAGACAGTTAAGCCTCCAAATAAACAAAAACAAAAATCAAAAACCCCTTATTTATTTGTAAGTTAAGGAATAAATTTTTAAATAATCCATAGGTCATAAGCCAGCAATCACGAAGGACATTATAAAATATATTTAACTAAGTATATCAAAACTTGCCACATGCAGCCTATGCACTGCTAGAAAAATTTTTAATCTTAAATTAATATATTAGAAATGAAAGGGTAAATTTAATGAGCCAAGTATCTTTATTATGAAGTTAAAAAAGGGCTGGGTGCTGTAGCGCACACATGTAATTCCTGCGTCTCAGAAGGCTGAGGCAGGAAGATTGTAGTTACAAAGCCAGCCTCAGCAAAAGCAAGGTACTAAACAACTCAATGAGAACTTGTCTCTAAATAAAATACTAAATAGGGCTGGTGATGTGGTTCAGTGGTTTAATGCCCCTGAGTTCAATCCGGAGGAGGAGGAGGAGGAGGAGGAGGAGGAGGAGGGGGGGGGGGGGGGGGGGGGGGGGGGGGGGGGGAGGAGGAGCTTAAAAAGGAACAGCAAATGAAACCCAAAGAAAGTAGGAAAAAGGCAATAATAAAAGTTAAGATCATAAATTAATCAACTGGAAAAATGAAGACACACAAAAAAGGCTTGTAAAGCCCAAAGCTGAGTCTTTGGAAGGACTAATAATGTAAGTTGTGGTATATTGTGTAATGAATACAATACAGCAATGGAAAGTACCAAGCCAGGACTTTTACAAAAACAGGGATATTAAAAAACATAATCTTGAGCAAAAAGTAAGGCAGGATAGAATATATATGGTAGGATTTATTTTATGTAAAGTTCAAAGAGTAAGCTAAATATCATTTAGGGATGACTACACTAGTGGTAAAACTAAAGAAAAACAAGGAAATAAATTCCATAATGTTAGGCTCATAGCCACTTCCCATTGGTAAGGAAGTGGATGTGACTGGGAAAGACCCATGAGGGACGTCCTAGGTGCTGGCAACATCATAGGTCTCCATTGAGATGGCTTAAATGATATTCATTTTGTAATTATTCATTATCATCTTTTATAAACATTATGCCTTTTCCTCTATTTGTCCTATATTTGGTAATTCAAAACATCTTTAAACAAAAATATGCACATGCTTTGCATTCAATATTTTGAGACATTCTAATGTCCTTAACATTTCAGTTCTCTTAACCATTCAAAAATATTAATTTCATTTTGATTCATCTTACCCATATTGATAAGGCACAGCTTACATAAATCAAAAATCTTGGGCCCATGAGGTAGATCAAAATTGCTCCTAAAACACACATACACAAATCATAGATGTTAGTAAATAGTAAAATACATCTAAAGATTTATTTAAAGCAAATTTTGCCACTAATGCAGAGAAAGCAAAATGCTGTTTAGCATGAATATGCTTCAGAAAGTAGTTAAATGCTAAGTAGAAATGCCAGAAACAGAAAAGTATATGGTTTGCCCAACAAGCCAGGGAATTCTCAGTTTTCGGTTTGTTTTTCTTTGACTTGAAGCCCTCGTCACTCATTGTCACCAAGTGACCACTGGGGAAATATTCAGCTAGGTCCCTTTTCTCAAGTCTAGAGATAGAGAAGCAAGCAAGCCATTACTAAAGGCTTAAAAGAAGCATTAAAGGAAGAAGCCCAGAGTGTGATGGAAAAAACACACAAGAGTCAGTTGTCCCAAACTGAAAATGCAGGATGAAGGCTTTCAGTAGAAGTGACCCCTGGGAAAAGTCAGAGGGTCACAAGGGAGATAAGCTACTGATGAGAATTGAGATGGACATTGCTCTCTAGGTCAGGAGACCTATGATATGAAGATTGAATAAAAGAAAAAGTAAAACATCTAACAATAAAATCTGGAGGTTGGGTAAAAAAGGTAAAAAAGGTGGAGAAAGATAAGAAGAAATAAAGGGCAGGAAGCAAGTCCACAGGGAAACGCCTCCTTACCTAGAAGAAACAGGAAAGAGGGAGATCCTCAAAGCCACTGTCTCCCCCATGGATTTCCAGCTACAGGGTGCCTCCTCCTCATCCTTCCTGCTGCTCAGACCAGAAAACTTTGTATTCTCTCTTTTACACTCATCATGTTGCCTGAATCTTAAAATATATACACAATTCCTGAATCCAATTACTTTCCCCACCTCCATTTCACCATCTTACACCTGGATTATTTCAATAGTCCCTTAACTAATCTCCAACTTCTACCGTGCCCCACTTTCAGTCTATTTTGATCATAGCAGCAAGAGTGGTCCTATAGAAAACCTCAATCAGATTATTAACTCCTCTGCTTAAAACCTCAAACAGTGGCCACATCTACTCAACAAAATCCAAAGTCCTTACAGTGGCTCCTACAGGATCCTTTCCCCTCCATTTATTTCTCTTACCTCATCTTTTACTACTCTATCCCCATGAATTATGTTCCAGCCTCATGAGCCTAATTCTCATCTCTGAATCTTTGCACTGGCTGTTCCCTCTGTCTGGAATACTCCTCCTCCAGGCATGCACGTGGACTTACCCCATCAACCATCAAAAGTTCTCTCTTCATTGGCACCTTCTCTTTCTATTCAATGTAAAAATAGCATACTGGAGCTGGGCACAGCGGTGCATGCCTGTAGTCCCAGCTATTTGGAGGCTGAAACAGGAGGATGGCTGGAGTCCAGGAGTTTGAGACCAGCCTGGGAAATGTAGTAAGACCACATCTCAACATTTAAAAAGTAAACATATAGAAATAAAATTTGTGTATTGTCTAGACCAACTAGTGCTAACCAATAGAACTTTCTTCAATAATGGGAACATAACCTCACTGTCAACAGGATACCCACTATCTACCTAGGACAGGAAATGTGAGACTTAGGAAGTGAATTTTGAATTTTAACTAATTTAATAGCCACACCAGGCTCATGGCTATGATTTATAAGTGCAGCAACTATGTACTTGTATTTCTCAGTTCTTTTGCTGATTTTCCCCTTATTCTTCGTCCCTGACATACTATATAATTTAGTTATAATTTATTTTTTTCCTGTTTATAATTTGCTCTTCCTGCTAAAAGTTAAGCTCCATTGAGGGAGAAAATTTTTTTCTTATTCACTACCATCTTCCTAGCACTGAGGACAGTTCCCAGCTCATGGTAGACACTTGAAAAATATTTGTTAAGTGAACAAATAGAGGTGCAATAAAAGAACCTAAAGTTCTCCTCTGGCCATGGTCTGGATCTGCTCTCTGCTATTTTGCTGACTTACTCCAAATCTCATTTCCTTGCCTGATGTCCCTGCCCTTTTCACTGACCTGTCCATCCATTCGTACACTTTGTTCTAGTTCCCCAATGGCATACTCACCACCTTCACCTTGACCTCTAACTTCTAGTCTCTTCATATTGGCTCATCTCAACCACCCTTGGCTCTGCTGAGTTTCTTTTCAATTAGATTTTCCTGAGACAATAAATGGCCTAGAAGAATGTCACAGCCCTAGAGTGCTGTCAGCTTATGCTTCTCTGTACTAAGCCTCCAGAGAAAAGCACAGCACCTCACAGCTGCTCTCAGCTGTCAATCATAGTATAATAAGTTAGACCTCAACCATCAACCCCATATGCCAGATCATCAGACAAGTGCACTAATAGGGATGAAGGACTTATGCACCAAGACCTCTGAGTGTAGTCCATCTCCTGCTGTGTCTTCCCAGGATACACAACTATGACCCCCAGTGATGTTTAGGTGGATATTACTAGTCGGAGGATTTATTCCAATCCACGTACCTTGAGGGTATCTCACCTTTTGTAAAAGAAAGCCTATTTTGTAACCAATGGACAGTGAAAGGAACAGGAAGACTCTAGAAAAGTTTCATTGTACCTATTATTCATTATGATCAATAGATGGGTTTCCACTTTAAAAACCTGGATGTCAAGAGTATTCTATTGTAGTGGTCTCACACAGGCTGCAAAGGAAGTAGAAACTAAAATGTTGTTGAAGACTTCCAGTTTTCTCTTTCTTTATTAAGTCCGATGACTCAGGTTTAATTTAAGTCTTTTTGTAACAGCTAAGCATTTCCTTCTTGCATAAATGAGGGGACACGAAACCCACATATTAGAACTTGCATTTAGAAGACACTCAACACACCATGGCTAATAATATGACAGGCAGGAGCATCTATTCCATTCTGCTGTACAGAACAATCTTTGCAAGTAAACTGTATATTGAAATGTGTTACTAAAATTGAGAGTGAAGCAAAAAGATAGTTTTCATGAATGGTACAAAGTTCACCTTTCCTTAAGCAAAAGAGATTGTGTGTACACAAAAAGAGAAACCTAAAGTGTCCTTTTGGACACCATTTATCTTCAGTTAAACTTCAACATGATACAGAGCAGAATGAGTTTGAGTTTTAAGTTTCGTTTAACATCACCTCTGTACCTAATGAAACAGAACAATTTCCTTTCTAGAGGAAAGAGCATCTGTTTGGCAAATGACCAGTCACTGATATTTCTCCCTTTTCCCCCTTGACAGCATAATGATTTTGTGCAGGGTGACAATGCACCCATATCCCAGGGGATGAATCACAGTGGATGTCAATCTTTGAAGGTGGTTCTATTTTCAGCCTCCCCCGTGGCTAGGATTGGCCACAGGACTGTTCTTCTACTCATGAGGTTCCATGGAATTCTTTCGGGGGCTTCTGGGAAAGATGTGCTTTCTGATAAGAAGACAGCCTGCCTTGCTCTTCCCACCTACAGCCTGCCTTTGAACATGGCTATGATACCTAGAGCACAGCAGTTACCTTGCAATCATGAACAGACAGTGTCTACAACCAGCCACCAAGGATGCCAAGGCAGATGGGCAGAACAAGCTGGGTTCTGAAGGCATCTCTGAATGGCTCTAAACTGGATAGCTACTGAAATTCTTGTTTACTAGAGTGAATGTTCTTGGGCTGGGGTTGTGGCTCAGCAGTAGAGCACTCGCCTGGCACATGCAAGGCCCTGGGTTTGATCCTCAGCACCACATATAAATAAAATAAAGGTATTATGTCAACTACAACTAAAAAATATTTTTAAAAAAGAGTGAATGTTTTCAAAGTTGAAGCCCTTGACAGCTGAGTTTTATTAGTATCCAGGAATATTTCTTTAATTATTAGTTCAGTGATTGCCTATACACCCAGTATCTAAATTTAATATTTTTAATATTTACCATATTTGCTTTATCTCTGTATTTATAATTTCAGCGTACTTGGAAAATAAATTGTAGACATCATGAAACGTCACTCTTGTCAGCACACAACTCCTAAAAATAAGGAGATTTTCTTTCATAACTACAGTGTCATTATCTTTCCCTCCAATACTACTAATTCTAAGAGCATCTAAGAGCTGCTCCATATTTATCTTCTCTATTATTCTCCAAATATGTTTTTGTGGTTAGAGAAATTTGCCATTTAAACAGGACAAGTGGGAGTTTGGGGTATTTTCACTTATTATTCTTCTTTTACTCAAAAAGGAAGATTGACCTGTGACAACCAAGCTTCATTTTCCAGCTCATGATGGCTTCTGAGCACTGTTGAAATGCCGGGAAAGACTGGAATAAAGCTTTAGTGTTACAACTGCAACAAATAACCTGTGAGCCTCATGCACATATCTTTCAAGAATGTTGCAAAAATTCCCATTTGGAAACTTATTTGGGATGGAGCTTCTGCTATACTAATGCTCTTCTCAATTAGACAGCGAGGCAAAGGACCCTGAACATCTAATGTGGAGTCAGGGGCCCACTCAGTGAGGCAGGACTCTTGACTTGTGGTTCTAGCTTGATCCCTCCTCCCACAAATAGCCCCATGCATCCCACTCCATGATTTATAAGAAACAGCGTGAGAAAATGAACACAGGAGATGATAGTCGTGGTAATTATAATATTAACTGTGTATATATAATAGTCAACATTTTTTGTGAGTATAATCAAGAAAAGTTAGGATGCACCCAAACTCTGGAAAAGAGAGATGAGAAAACAAAGATAATTGCCTTGTGCCATTTAAATTGGTAAAATCAGTTGAGATTTTTTTCTAGAACATTGCTACCTAAAAAAGACAAGTGTTGTTTGATTATCTTTGCTTATTTTTTCTTAACCTCCCATTTTACTTAATTAAAGCCACTGTGCTCAGAGGAATTGTGCAACTCCAGAGCACTGTGAATGCAGCAGTATTGCCCCTCCAAAGGTAATGTGCTCCCTTTTCTCAAGGAGAGCCTACAATGATGCCTAACCAGAGACTTACCTAAAGAACTCGTCTCTTCCTTCATGTGCTTGGTGCTTGCTGTTTTAGTTTGCTTCTCCTCATTTCCAGGATTTTCAATGTCATTCAATTCTCCCACCATAATAACTACATGCTGGGAAAGAAAGGTTTCAAATAATGAAAAATACATTCAAACAACTCCCATACTTATGGTCAAAAACAGGAATAAGTCAATGTGCTTAATTGACTTACTTCCAATTGGATTCTTCTGAGCCCACTTATATTGTACTTATTTCAACTACATAAAATGAATTGTGTAATCCATTTGAAGGGCTTTATTGCACGTGAATAAGTCATAGCAAGTGCTATAGACAAATAGAGGCCTATTATCAATTCTCAAAACCAATTATTTTGGGGGAAACATCAGCTCACTATAATCAGAGATTCAGCAGATTAATCAGACACACAAAAAGGGTAAAGATATATTTTGACTAAATTGTCTATTGCCATTCAACCTGGGAACACTGGTGTAAGTAATTTGTCCTCCATTAATATGTTATTTTTCCAACTTTAATTTTTCAACAGGGTAAATTTATTATGCTTATAACTAATTCAAGTGATAACTAAAATCTTCCTTGGATTTTCACTAACATATATCCTGGTGAAGCCAAGGTTTATTTCTGTTAATGACTATTTTACTTCTAAAAAGAGTGAAAATGAAGAATTCCCAAAACTGTAATAGTTTGCTCACCGAACAGACAGCAGGAGGGTCTGGATCTCTCACTGGACTCTCCAGAAGCCGAAGAGAAAGATGAATTATAAAGCAGCGTAGCCAACGGCTTCTGAACCACACATGGGGGTTGCTACACGCACCGCTTTGTGCGGAAAGTGCTGGAGGTGCAAATGTGTCCTGTGGGTTATCGAAAGAGAGGCCAGCAGTTTCTGCCACCCGTGACCGCCCAGCACAATATGCTCTGGCAGGGGCCCTTCTGGGATGGTAGGTCAGTGCACTGGGAGAAGGGGACATGAAGTGCAACCAGTCCTGAAGGCCCCAGTAAGGATGAGACACCTTCAAAATATCCTTGCCACATTAAACCCTGGTCACATGCAGAAACATTCATCAAGACTCTTGAAGGGAAAAGTTCTATTTGTACTTTGAAATGTGTCATAAATTGCTTAGAGGCAAACAGGAGCTGACCCTCTGCAGAGTAAAGTAGATAACATGTCCCCTCCATGTTTAGAGAGAGTTCCCTTAGGCCTTGACTTTCCAGAACTTTCCAGGGGAAGTTTGCCCAGCACTTCTCCCTTTCCTTCCTTCCCCCTCTGAAGTTCTGACTATCAAGGGCAGTGTCTCATCCCTAGGTCACCTGTGCTGGCCAGTCCCCAAACAGAGGAATCCTACTAAAAGTCAATGCAAGCACAAGTTTGGGGCTGGTCCTCCTGGGTCGATTGGCCTTCCTTCCAAGAGGATTCCATTTTTTTATTGGGATTTTCAGGAACACGTATTTTCATGAAATACAGTATTTTGGAGAAGAATGGGTTTGGGGATGTCTCCTGGTCTTTGGCTCATAACCATTTAGCAGTGGTTGTGGCTCAAAAAAAAAAAAAAAATCTCTTATTTGTCCCAAGCATTCAGTATTGAGTGGGGCCCTTACTCACTTCAGGCTCAGAATGTTTAGTCCGAACATCCTGTTTGCAGTCAAAGGCAGAGAGTAAGTTGAGAAACTTAAGATAACAAGGCTTTCAGTTTATAAATGTTCCAAAGAAGAAATCCAAGAAGATTTAATGAAAGCATTCAATTTGACACATTCTAGATAAATTATTTAAATTTTCCTGCAAATGCTTCAGCCTAAAATAAATGGCTTTGTTTGCAGGAATGGGTACCACACATTTGTCAAAACTCCTCATCCATGTGGAAGTGCTGTAGTCCTGGTAACCAGGGAGCTCAGCAGAGCCGAGAGTCCTGCAGGCTGGCAGGGTGTGCCAGAAACTCCATGATGGTGGGGCTCACATCCGCTAAATCACCCTCCTATCTTGGGGCCCAGGCACAGAGTGAGCACCGAGCAGGCACTCAGGGAAAGAGACCCACTTACTATATTTACAAGTGTAGAAATAGAGGAGCTAAGACAAAAAAGAGAGAGACACGTTTCAGCTTCATCTTTGATGCACACATGTGCCACACCACATGGTAGAAAAAAGGAGAAAGCAGAGTTGTTCTCTCAAAAAGGAAAATATTAACAAGATATTTGGAAAAATTAGTGCAATTTTGAAACTACTGGTGGTTTCTCTAGGCAGGAGTCAGCAGGAGTGAAAAAAAATCAGTTCAGCACACTAGGCAAAAATGTGATTGTCTGGGGGGGCAGGAGAAGCATTGTAGAATAGCTCATCAAATAGTTCCCAAGTTAAAGCAAAAAAAAATTTTCCAATTAGAGCAAAATGCAAACACACATATATGTGTGTGCACATCAAATACACGTTTACTGAACATTTCAGTCAACCATGGACCATGTGTACAATGGCAGCTCCATAAGATTTTACTGCAGCTGAAAAACTCTTATTGCCTAGTAATGTCATAGCAACCTTAGTTGTATAAGGATACTGTATACTGTTTCCACAATGACAGACAAGTTACCTAACCAGGCATATCTTAGAACATGTCCCCCTCATAAGTAATGCATGACTGTGTGTGTCTACATACACATACACATGTATATATATTATATATATATGTATATATACACATATATAGATAGATAGATATAGATATAGATATACTTTATCAAATGGCTCCCAAATTATGCAAAATTTCCCAATTAAAGATATATATATATGTGTGTATATATGTATATATGTATAGATAGATAGATAGATAATTTAACTAAACTCTTAAGATGGAGGGGTCTCTGAAACAAAAGGATTTATTGAGCTGTTTACAGATGCTAGCAAGAAAAGGACTTGATTCTGGAACAAGTGCCGCAGCAATCAGCAGCAGGGCTGGATAGTGGTTAGGAATATGTCTGCCTGACCTAAGAACCAGCAATGTTTCCATAATGAATATGTGGAGGAGGAAAGTATAAATTGTCTATATTGAGACTACTTTGGCTATAGATAAGAGGGTTGGGATAATGAGAAGAAAGGGACAGTTCTTAAGGAGATGTGTTTCTTTCTTAAAGACTGTTTGGGGTTAAGAGATCAGAAGGTCCATTGATAAGCCTGACCAGGGGAGCCTGGTGGTTGATGCCTGGAGATATAAGTCAAGGGTGCAAACTACATTTGGGAATATGAAACTATACTTTGGTGGTTTGCCCCATAGCTGTTAACTGATTAACTTCCCTTATGTCTTCTCTCTTCCCTTCTCCAGCCCTTGTGATTAAATTTAGGATATCTCAGAATTTTTCTTTTATCAACAGATAAACTTACAGAAATGAATATATAAATAAATATACATGTATAATATACATAAATACCTAAGCATACATTTATATACTTAACAGTTTCTGTGTTCTTACTCAAACTTTCAGTGATGAATCAGAGATGCTTTGGTCATGAATAGAGGAATAGCAAAATAAATTCCTGAAATTTGGACAGAGGTGGGAATCAGGGAGAAAGGTGTTATTTAGCATAAGATGATCAGTTTCTTGAAAAGTACCTGCCTATATAAGCTATAAAAATAATTTCAAAATTTGTCACTTTATTCTTTCCATACCTTTAAGGAATAACACAGACATCCAAATCAAATATTAGAAAAGGAATTATTCACTGGCTCCAGGCAGACCAACCCTTATCCCATTTAAAAGACATTTGCTGTTTTGATTTACTGTGCTTGTTTTAAATAAAATAAACTGGTGACTGAGAAATTGTTGCTAGGCTTGTCATGACAGTAGATGGGGTTTCACTCTCCAGAGGAGAATATTTTCCCCTTCGCTACACATTGCCTGATAGAATTATGTGCTTGACTTAGTAACCCAGGGCAATTGAAATCTTAAGTGAAAAGGCTCAGAGGAGTCCAGGGAAGAAGCAAGGGGGAAGGTGCTCAGACAGAAGGATTCTCAGAAGTCCTGAGATTTCTGGTTTGGATCAAATTCTGTTTTCCAATCTGTACTTTCCTCCAACAGACACTGCTGGTCAGTGTTTCAATAAGAATTACCCACCCCCAAGCCCAGGCACAGACTCTACAGTCAAACTGACTCGGTTCAAATCCAGGGTCCTCCACCTGCCAGTCACAACAAGGCCACAAGGTTTCTTGGTTTCATGATGACTCTCAGTTTTTCATCTCTTCAGTGGGGATAATAACAGTACTCACCTCACTGAGTGCTCATGAGATTAGATGAGAAGGATATGCATGAAGGCACTTAGGAGCCCCTCTGGGTAGAAGTGCTCAGAAGAGCTTATCTATTGACACTTTTAGTAATAATATTTACACATTCAAGTATTATCATTTTCATTACTATTATGTTAGATGTATAAAATGGCAATCAAGGCGAAGGAGAGGGCAATGGATGTTTTTTTGAAAAAATAAGCTCCAAATACTCTCTCCCTCTCCTTTCCATTTCTGTCTGACCATGACCCCTAGAGCCATGAGATGAATTCTACTACATTCTACTAAATGAAGACAAAAGGCTACAAATACAAAAATTAAAATTAAAAAAAAATACAAAAGGCTAAGTATGATCCACAGAGGTAAGAACAAAGCCATTGATTAGAGTGACATGGAGCAAAATAAAATATATAATATTTTGCTCTTTGAAATTAATTCTTAAACAATTAATACATGGATTCTCCTTGCAAAAATTCAAACAATGCAGATGAGGGCAAACTTTCCTTAGGTCTCTGCACTCTTTTCTGGGAGGAATCCATCCTTCCATACCTTGTCTGGAGAAAATCTGCTCTCCCCATTTTTATTCACATAAATGGATTCCTACCCTGTGCACTGTTTTGCAGCTACTTTCTTCATTCAATAGTCTCTGGAGGTGTTTCCAAGTTATTATATATAAATAGTTCTATTTCATTCATTCTTTTCCATTTGTGCCTACTCCTAATAACCATAATAGGTTGCTTCCATAGATCTGGTGAATATTCATCCCT